CATCTCTTGCTGTTTCTTCTCCAACCTCTTCAATATGTCCCAAAGATCTCCAGATTTCTCCCTGAGGCCTTAGATTTGATAAGTGGGATCTTTTGGGGGCTGAGCAAAAGCACAAATAAAAACTTTCCAGGAGCATAAGCCTCACTGCCTCCTCCTCCGCGCCAGAGACTTCTCAGGATTACCATCTTTTCCCACCTCCATGTTAGATTCACTCCTGGTCCTGTCACAATCTGTCATTCAGTACAAATGGAACAAGTAGGACATTCCCATTTCCCAGGAACTTCTCTGCGGTTTGCTGTCCTGGCAGATCCTTCCTTTAGCACTCTCGTTCCAGCATAATTGACCTTCCTAAGATTTTCAAGAATAATGCTTTATTGATTGTGTATCATATGAAAAATTCAGCACACAGTTGGTTACACTCAGCCTCTACTTCGAGCCCTTTCTAAAAATTATGTGCGTCATGCACTAACTACAGGATGCAAACGTGGCACTTTTGCTTCATCCTGTCTTCCTTTCATCAGTCCCAAATGTGCTTCACTACCAAAAATGCTTCTGCCAGCACTGATCTATTTGTGAGCACAGGCACAGCGAGATTTCGCCAAGCTCTCACCGAAAGATGTTTGGCAATGCCCATTCAGTCCCAGCTGCGTAAGGAACCACCTACCCAAAGGCACTAGTGTGAGAGTGAACTGATTGTGCAATCGCATTAAACTCACTGGAAGGCTTCAAAAACAGGTGAATTGCACTGCTATGAGACTTTTTTTCTTTTCTTTCAATAACTCATTGCACCACAGCAAGGCAAGCTGTAGTATTAAAAGGTTTTATCTTTGGGACTGAATATAGCCTTAAGTAACACCACTATTCTTTTAACCTCTTTTTATAACAGAGCAGAAAGCAACAAATTTCTGATGCTTTACCTTTACTAGACAGGAAAAATGAATTAAAAGTCATTAGCCAGCATGTGGTAACTAACACAGATAAAACATTAATGACACAAGGCAAACAACTCCTAGATAAATGAGCCCATCACTCTTCATGAGGCAGTTTCTTCAATCCCCCCACATGAAGTGACTGAGAGTAACAGACATTAGCAGGTTCCTGGAGATTTACCAGCTGAACTGACAGAGTGATTCCTGCATGGATGCTGCTCTCTAAGAGCATTCCCAGAGAGAACGTTTACCATTTAATTTTCCACAATTAGCCAAGCCCTTGGATAGGAAATACCCATTAAGGATCTAACACATCTTCTAATTCCAATGCTAATTGTACAGAGAGATGCCCTTGGCCTTTCCGACCCAGCTTTTGGCATCTCACACACTGGACATGTTAGGACATATGTTACTTTCTTATGTAAGATTCAAACTTTGTTAATTAGATAAAAATTTAACAGTAAAATGCTACTGCTTGGAAAACATCTGTTTTGTTTTCCTCTCCCTTGTTCAAGGTCTTGAACGTCTTTCTTTTTCCCAGTTCCCTCAGGCACTGGATTCTTAACCAAATACTGTTAAGATGCAAGAGTGCTCCGCTTTTGGCTTGGAGGAATTTATTTATAGGCACTTAAATTCTTTCTTAATCAGTGCCGTCATCTTACAGTCTAATCAATGCATTCTACAGCAACAGAGATCCATTTAGCAATGCAGAATTTTTCTTTCACTTCATTAAAAGGCCTCCTAGAAATGGTAAATTACTTCCCTTAAGTAACCATAGCCAAGATTATATAAATAGATAAATAGCTATATAAATACATTTTGGCTTCACTCAGTTTAACCAACAGTTGAACACCTAGCGGAGAATTACATAGCTGTTAATTCACAATGGGCGAACACTGCAGTTTGGTTTCAAGTTTCCCTTAAAGCCAAAATGAAATTGCCAAAGCCAGTAGATTCTCTTTCATCCATTCCAAAATGCAAGGCATTACACCCCCACAGAAGTGGAACTCTGTTCCAATCTGCACGGTAAAACCATCAATATAAACCTGGGTGAAAAGGCAGGGATACCTGGTGAGCTGCTGTATGTTAACCACAGAGTGAAATTACATTAAATCACACAGCCAAGGTAGATGTGTATATTTATTCTGGTCCAACTGTTAGGTCATTGGACAAGTGCAGATCTTTCCATCTATAGACTGAGATGGACCAAGTTTCTCCATTTTATGGGATGTGTCCAACTGCCCTTCTGATTCAAACTGCTTTTGTATGTTTGCAGCCCCTTATCACAAGTCCCGCTTTTCTCTTAAGCAAAAATCTCAGCTATAACTACATTTCTATAGGGACACCTGAAAATTTTCATCAGTATGAAAAAATTGTACTATTTTGGTTTGGGATTTAAAATAAAACCCTGTAGGGGTGTAAAGCCTGATTTACAAGAAAGCACAGAAATCCAGCACCAGGTGACAAGGCTTCCTCTCCTGTAGGGATAAAAAAATTTTTCCCATTCCCCATTCGAGCGCATGCAGGCACTTGATTGAGGTGTCTAGATCAGAGCTTTCCCATGGGAGAGATAAGTGACAGCAGTGAGTAAACACTCAGAGATTATGCTGGAGCCTGTTCTGCTTTCTCTTTGGGGGCAGAATAATATCTGCATGACTCAATGGGAATATTAACAGAATCAAGAGGCACATGTTTTAGCAACCGTTACCACTCATGGGCACATAATTTCCAGCATCTTACATGCAGGCACTAGTGTACATATAGCAAAACCCCAAACTATTGCAGAATAACAGCAAGCTTGCATCACATTTCAGGAATAACCCCATCATCAGCTTAGAGGACAGTCTGTCATGCCATAGTGCACATATATATGTGTACATAACACAAAGCCTTTCAAGCCTTTAGCATCATCAAAAGGAAAAAAAAAGTCTACTGCACAGTGCTTTAAGCAGGGTCAGCTAAAGACAGGTGCTATCCGTGGAAACTTGAAAACACAAAGAGAGAGTGGAGCTTTGAAATGTCTTTAAAGCAGGTAAAACTAGCAATGTTCTCAAAGGGGAAAATTTCTGTGGATTTCAGTGAACTAAGAAAGTGCTTTTTCCAAAGTCAAACAGCAACAGACCCAAGTTCAGTATCACAGACTGCATGCATGAAATTTGCACACTTTCATTTTTAAACAAAACCCCTTGCATAGCTAATATTTACAAATAAATCAGCACGCACAAGAACATGGCAGACTCTCAGGCTAAGCTGCAAAACCAGAAAAGCATTACATTCATCTTCCTACCAGTAACACAGATACTGTCCAGGTACAAGTGCTGCAATATTCCTTTAGCAGTACTTCACATTCGATACAAGAAAATTAAAAACCTGGAAATTAGTATAAGTGCCTTAAGCTCTGCCATGGCTTAACACCAGCCAACAACTAGGACCACACAGCCACTCACCAACTCCCCCCTCTGCCAGTATGATAGGGAGAAGGGGGAGAAGAGGAGGGGGAAAAAAACCATCGTGGGTTGAGATAGTTTAATAGAACAGAAACACAAGAGGAAATACAGCCACTCACCAACTCCCTCCTCTGCCAGTATGATAGGGAGAAAGGGGAGAAGAGGAGGGGGAAAAAACCATCGTGGGTTGAGGTAGTTTAATAGAACAGAAACACAAGAGGAAAACCATGACGATGATAATAATAATGGTAAAAGAATACACAAAATAAAGTGATACAATACAAATTGCTCTCACCACCCCATGATCAATTGGCCAGCCATCTCAAGCAGTGATTGCCAATTCCTGTCCCCCAACCCACCCCTGGTTACATGCTGAGCACAGCATCTATGGTACAGAATATTCTTTTAGCCAGCTTGTCCCATCTAAAATCCCTCTCAGCTTCTAAGTGAAGCTGAAAACTTCCTTTGACTAATGCAAACATTACTTAGCAACAAATAAAACAATGTGTTACTAACATTATTCTCATACTAAATCCAAAACACAACAGCTACTATAAAGAAAATTAACTTTATCCCAGCTGAAACCAGGACAAGCTCCAAGCAAGTCCACATCTCTACAGAACAGATACACATCATCTGAGCCTACAGCAGCAGGAGTTCACTGACATGAACTGCTGCCTCCCCCAGCACCCTCAGGTGCATTCCTTGAGAAAATGCTCTATATCCAACCTGACCCTTAGAAATATCAGTACTGGAAAAGAGGCAGGTTTATTGCTCTTCACAGACAGTAAATAGAAAAACTTGTTCTAACATACACATTTGGGTTACTTTGTTTCAAGTGTTAAAGCATTTTTTAATGTGTTGAATTGATCTGAACCACCATCTTCCTCCCCTCTTTTTTTTTTTTTTTTAAGGTCAAATCTTGTTCCTGTTAAACACAGAAGACTGGCAGATCATTTCATGAGAGCATATTATTGTGAAATTCCACTATGTTACAGCTTACACACCACAATATGTTTATAAAAGATTTTTGAAATGAAAAATGACATTAAGCATTCAGAGGTTGTGTATTTACTGCTTGGCTGTTACTTTCTCTGCTCAGCACTTCAGATGTAGAACAGAAATGCGATCACAGCAAAACAGCTTCAGAGTAAAGTCCAATTACACTAAGTTTTGCAATTTGAGCCCAGAATCAACCAGCGCTCCCCAGACTAGACTGGGAACTCAGATAAAAAGAAGCAAAAGACTAACTACTACCTAACTGGCCAGGGGAGCAACAAGTTTTCACTTAGTACAGAACAAAGGGCATTTGATTGGTTTTAAAATGCTTTGTTTTTCAAAGCAAGCATAAACTGTTGAGTAAGGGAGGATGCTGAGCAACCTGGCAGAGGCAAGTGAGATGGAGCCTGTCTGATCTGAAGAGTTCATGTGAGACAGACTTGTGCTGAAGGTGCCTAGAACAGTTCAGAGGGGTATCAAGCAGCTCCCTGCATACACCCTAAGCTGTCTGGTTTTTCTTTTATATTAAGCACAGCTACTAGTCTCAAGCCTCTCAACACAATCACAATCCATGTAACAGTAGCACCCCGCACAGAATTAGCCCATGGTAATCAACATTTACCAGTCAGGGTCATCAAAATATAGTTTTATTTACAATTTCATATTCAAATTCAATACAAATCATGAAATATTTACAACAATTTTAATTATACTACAGATAAGAAAATGCATTGCTTTTCCCTCCAGATTCAATAGTACTTTACTGTGGGCTTTAAGACAAAGTTTTGCTAACATTAGAAACAAGCCATAGATACAGAGATTAAAAGAAAAAATAAAGTGCATCTGTAAGATGTCCTTAATACCTTCACTGGGCAAGGCCCTACACTCAGTATCGAGGCACTCCGTGTTCCTCCTCCACCCCAGTTCAACTCCCCACCGATGACAGACAACTTTACCCATCCTCTGTTACAGTTACAGGACGCCAGCTCTCCCTGCAGCTTTAGCACACAGGCAAGACAGTGCACAGCAACAGTCCAGCATTTCTCAGGGGCTGGATCATTCTCTGATTAAAACACAGCAGATCCTTTGGGAAGAATCTATTTTTTTCACCCTTAGTTCAGTCTTCCTGAAGTTATCCCAGACTCACAAAGCCAAGACTCTGGCATATTGCTGGTGCTAGAGACAGTTATAACTCCAAAGATCATGGAGGATCTTTCAGGCTATCTAATATTAACAGGTTTGAGAAGTTCCTACAATTGTTCCCTTTACAGTATTGTGCAAGTCAGATTTGGCCTGTCATCCTGAAGCTCTCTTTTTCCCTTTAGGAATGTGTGGTTGGCAGGTTGGAGTTGAGAGGTAGAGTATCAATCGGTTTACTAGAAAACCAAGACACTGTAGGCAAAATCCAGTTTGACAGGCATTAGTTTGTACCCTCTCCTACCAAATTAGTGCACCTGCAAAAGAATAAGCAATCCTCTGATGCTTAACCTTATCTCCAGGGAAAGTGTGCTGGTATAATTCCCAGTACTGTTCCTGGAAAGGGAAAACAATACAAGTCTCAGCAGGAGCAAATTAGTGCACAGAAATATTAAATACGGTGTTGCTTTAAACTAAGCTGTGTCTGGTAGATGAGTATTAGACCAGATCAAAATAAATTTGTTTACAATGAAAATCCACTTGAATTAAAACAATGAACAACAAAAAACCCAAGTCAAAACAATTCCCAGTAGAGACAGCTACAACAAGGAATCTCCTCCTTATTTTTAAATGACTCAAACACTGAAGAGAAACTTTGCTGAAGATGGAACTTTTGTTTTAGTGTTAAAATCTGATGTTTTTCTTTATTTTTAAGATAGCTTTATCTGAAGAGTGCTAAAACTAAATTCCACGTGGGAGATGCAGTTTTAAGAATTTCAAACCATACAAATATGATTTGAACAAGTCCATTTGATCTCAGCATTGCCAAGGCAATATTCTTCTGCTTCAGTCTTGCAATGTTTGGTGTACACCTGCCAGCAGCAGGCTCCTTGCAGAAGGCTTACACTATGTTGCTGGCACATTCTTAAGACTTGACTTCACGAACTTGTGTTTCATCTGCCTCAAAACTTGGGTTGTCCATGTGGGGAAGGACATTCACATTGGAGGGCTGGGATTCGCTGTTTACAAGATGCATGTTGTCATCTGTCCAGAACAAAACCAAGAGAAGACAAGTTAAGAAGTGTCATAGGAAAGCTTTACAACCTTCAAGCAAACCATGCTTCCTTTATTTCCACGAGGCACTGCAGTGGGCCCTCTGCTCTACTGGGGTGCCTAACGGGGCACCCCCATACACAGGGCACTCCCTGGAGCAAGGTGTCCCACAGGAGGCAGGCAGGAAATCCTGTACTTTCCCATCAGCTGGGCTTCCCACAGGAAATCTATGCGGACACAGAGCATCACTTTCACCTCTGAAAGCTTCCCCACTCGCTCCTGTTCCCAAGGCCATTCCACAACCTAGAGTACAGTTACTTTCCTTTGTTTACCTGGAACCTTCCAATTTTTAAAATCAAGAGCAGCACTAAGAAGGTGTTGGCAAAGTTAAGCACGGAAAAGACGTTTTCAATTAGTTTGCTCTTCTTCAAAAAGATAAGGTATTTGGAAAAGCTGATAGTCTTCTCCAATTAAAATTCTGTGAAAGTGTTCAAGAATGACTCAGCCTTGGCAAAATCTGAAATTCAATTAAAGTATTTATCATCTCTATTTTGCATCATCTAAGCTACAGGAGGACTGACTCCCCAAGTTTTCTGTAAGTTAATTACTTAAAACAGACAGATCTGGTGGCAGAGCAACACTCACTCATCCAAATGTAATCTCCAAGGAGACAACAAGATGAGGGATTCTAAAAACTCAGTGAAATTCAGTGAAATCTTCAGAAAAAAAAAAGCTTTGGCCTTTCAAGTAGTAAGCCTCTGATTTTCAACTACTCTTTTCATAGACTTCAGTTTTTAATTCCTGTTTAGCTTGTGATCAATTTGAAAACAAAGACCAAGCATCAGAGCCAAGTTCCAAAACAAAAGGGGAGATTAAGATTACCCTGAAAAAACAGGTATTCAAGCACAGTGAGATGTTATTTACAGCAAACACCCTTAATTCACATCATAAGCAATGAAGTGCAACACAATCTAGCGAGACAGTAGACGCACTTTCTGATGGTGCATATTCCTCCAGCACAGATTCCTCTGCTCCTTGTACAGAAGCATATCCAGATGATGCTGTTTCACTGTGATTATCCTCTTCATTAACTGTAGAGATATTTGATGTCCTACTGGATACTGTGGCTTGCACAGACTCAGTGCCACCTTCTACATCCTCCTTTGTGAAAAAAAGAGAAAACATTTAAGTTACAACTTTGTAGGAAGCTGCATCTTTCCAAGAGACCAATCCCTGCAAGGACTGGAGTCTAGTGAACTTTTACCCAGGAAAAAAAACAATTACAACTGAAAAAAAAGCTCTGCTGTTAACTTTCACAGGCAGCATTATAGGTAAAAACCAGTTACTGCCTAATTCAGTGGAAAGTTCACATGCAGCTTCTACATTCTTCAGCCAGCTCTTCCCTTTTACTGCCCAGTACCAGCAAAATAGATTCCTCCCTCCACTCAGCATAGGTCTCCCTACCCCAAGCAAACTCTGGCATACATTTTAGCTGGTCCAGGCAGTGTCAGGCACTGGCAACAGCATCCTCCTCTGGCACTTACCACAATGAGAACTTGCAGAACACGTCAGAAATTCCTTATATATCCCAGGAAGTCATATGGCTCCAGGGAGTCTTACATGCTAACACATTTGCTTTACAAGAACACCGTGTACTTAGTAACTGAATAGAAGCTGGTTTCAAGGACAGTAAGAATGGTCAAAATCTGCCTGAAGCTTTGAGAAACACCCTAAACTGCAAGCACAAGAGCAATTCTTTAGTCATGCATTACAATCAATTTTGGTTGACATTCTGCCCAAGGCTTTAGATGATTCCACCTCAGACCAGGTCAAGTGCAGGCTTTGCTAAAGGGGCCACAGCAATTTGTCCTGTAGCATCTCACCACTGGCACAGCAACGCTTATCACCTGTGCTCTGGAGGGAGCATGAAATAGCTCAGTATGTGGTTACTACACTAGCATAACACCAATAATGGCATCTGCCACTAAGGCAGACTACAGGCTTACCTCAACACCCAAAGCTTTGAGTATGTCACATTTGCACATCGGGCATGTCCTGTGTTCCAGAAGCCAGGGGTCAATACAGCTCTTGTGAAAGAGATGGCTGGTGGAAGAAGGTAACCAACACGTTAGGGTTCACACCAGGAAAACTGTTTATGTGGCAGCTGTGAAGGCCTATTTAGAAACACTGAGAATGTATTCATTCTAGAATGGATGACCTTATTTTGCCACAAGTTCTAGTTGATAGTTATGGATAGTTGATCTCTCAACCTGTAGCTGGTTTATGTTTATTAGTATCTCTATACAACTTGTTAGAATTCAGCATGATCAACTTTGCTACAGTCTTAAGCATTTTTTTTTTTAAATCTGTGCACAATATATTCCCAGCTGCTGATTTAACTAATACAAATGTCGACATCTCAGCCTTAGCTTTAAGGTTAACTTCTATCATGCAGATGCAAATGACCAAATATCACTTGTTTCTGTTAAAACTACATAGAAAAATCATCTCCGAGTTATGCCCTCAAGATAAACTATGCTCCCACACATTTACTTTGGAATACACAGTGACTGCATAGACAAGTGGATATCTGGCAGGCTGTGTACTCGAGAAAATAAATATAGTTCAGCCATCACAGATGCAAATGTGTGCTCCTATGAAGACACTCAATTACACAATGGGTCTGAATTAGGCCACAGATTTAGGAGGACAACTGTAATCTGCCTGTTCCCTCAGCCTGAATAGAAATAGCAAGGCACTGCTCAATGTTAATCAGAGCTCTATTATGAGACGAGTACAGAGATCACCCATCCAGTGCTCAGTATCCTATGCCCCACTATGATACCAGGATTCTCCAGCTCAGCCCACATAATCAGCACCTCCTTCCAGCTGCACCAACGTAATGTCTAGAGTACAACCTGACACTTCCTTGATGCGTGACTATTTTAAGTGTTTGGACTTAATATTTGTGTATCTCTGCTACTATAAATGCCTTCAGTTTGACTATCTGGACAAGAATGCCTTCTGCAAATACACACGCCCCAGATACTTAGATACCACTGATGTGACTCACAGGAGCTTTCGATTGCTTGCTTCTTTCATGGATATAGTTAAATGCTTTCAACAAGTAGGGTCTCAGTGTTGAGGTCAACCACCACCAACAAGAGTATATTCTTGCAGTAAATATATCAATTTATAACTCAGTGAGAGAATTTAATATGGTTGATGCTGGCGGAGATCACCACTGGTGAAGATTATCAAGTAAATACAATTATCTTAACCTAGTGCCTCTTAGAGTTACATCTGGGTCAAAGAGGAATGAAAGACCACAAATGTATGTAAAAGCAGTCTCAGAGCAAAGCATAATGCAGCAGACTTGTATATACAGAATACGTGCAAAAGAAGTTAGTCCTGTCTTAACCCAACAAGTCATGCTTCGTTTGCAAGTTGGGATCAAGATTAGCAAGGTTTATAGGAAAATAATGAGAAGTCATCTCCTATCAGCCAAAAGTATCTAGAGCCTGTCTAAATGCTTCTGTACTCATGGGACTCATTTCATTAGTAAACAGGACTACCCACAAGCATATACCTGGCAAGACAACTGAATAATCATTAGCACGCATGCCTGAAAGCTTATTTGCTTTTCTTTTTTCCAAACTATTAAGCATCAAATCAAGGAAGTTAGTTGACAACACCTTAACAGCCAACTTCTTGATATCAAAACAGCTTAGAAATAGTACTGCTTAGGAGCAGAGAAAGCTCTGGCAAACCTGTAACCTGGTGCAAAGGTAGCCCCAGCTCAGATTTGATAGTGTTTCACAAGTAACACTGCTCAGCAGCTACAGATTTTTCCATTCTTCAGAACTTGGTTTTTCCTGTATCAAAATTTTTCCAAGTGCTTTTTTGTAGCACTCCAAGGGTTACAAAACTCTTCCCATACAAAATTTGTGCAGTTCACATTGCAGCCCTCTAATTTTAGAAGCTTTGCCAGAGCAGCCCTATCCAGGAAGCAAAAGGGGAAGTCCCACAGAACAAGTTTCCTTAAGCCCTGAAAAGGCTTCTTTGCTCATCTTAGAAGCAATCAAATCAAAGTCTTAGTGCTACAATACTGGGCTTCCACAGAAGCACAGCAATGAAATACTACAGTAGAGAATTTAGGAAAGTAAATTTCTATAGCTCTATTTTGGCCTTTAGTTCAGATGATGCATACAAGAATAGAAATGCTTTCTTCTAAGCTACCAAAGTTAGCATGGTTTAACAAGGTTAGCATAAGCACAATCCTCTTAGTAATCAGTAAACTAAGTGACAATAAATGGGCATGGTTTTGCCAGTTATCTGCAATTCAGAGATAATAATCTTATACACCAGCAAAGCAAGATATCTTTAAAAAAGCCCTGGCATCCCCTGGAGAGGCACTGTGGTCTGCCAAGTCATACTTGTCAGTCCACTCACAGGGGAAGTTATGAACACAGGCCACCAGGGCACACTACAAGGGTGTATTTACACAGTTCCTGTTGTTCAAAACATTGTTTAACAGAGATTGAAGAATTCTTGCTGTGCTACAGCTTGATTAAAGTTTGATCAGCTTTGTTAACATAGCAGAAGTAACAAGCAGTAAGAGGCATGCTTCCAGATTTTGGATTAAGGAGCAGTTTGGAAGACAACTTACTTGCAAATCAGAATACGCACTACTTCGTTGGGCTTGTACAGCTCAATGCACACAACACAGCTGTCTCCATCAGGACCGGTTTCCTAAAGCAGGGAAATGAATTTACAGCGTTAACAGACTTTGAAAGCTTCCTTTGAACTACAGTCAGATTTACTGCAAAGGGGTCTATCTGAAGTAATCCAAGCTCCTTTATATAATCTTACATAAACACATTGTGTGGATTACTCATAGTCAAGCTGACACTTTTAACAGAAACATTGAAAGTTTAATCCCATGGTTTAGAAGCCCAGCTGCAAACCATCATTGGATTATTTGAGGCACTACTATAGAGGTTTAGAAACTGCTACCTCCAGTTTCAGTTACAAAAAGAATAGCCAGGGAAACTGGTTAGATACACTGATTTACCTTTAAGCATCCGTGCCAGCAAATTAGGACCTCTCACCTCAGCAAGACTACAAGCGAGCAACTAAAAAGATAATCTGATTTATGAGAATGTGCAAATTGGAAAGTTTTGCACCCCGGAAAAGGGCCTGAAAGAGGAACTAATCTCCACAAGAGACAGTTGCAGCGCTCAGAGAGACTTCTGCATCCTGCTCCAGTACCAAGGACCACTCTCTGGGTGCTGTACAAGGAGTGTGCCATAATGCTTGGGAAATCATAGGATCAGTCCTACCTTGTCCCCTTGCTTCAGGGTGCGCAGCTGTAACTGCTCAATGGCCTTCTTAGCCTTGGCCTTCAGTTGTTGCTGTAACAGAAAGTGGTCCTGTTAAACACAGTCATTTTTCCCATAAGTGGTGGTTACTAACAAGTACCATGGCGCTTACTGCAAGCGGGCACCAGTTTTATAACCCAGATGTTATCAAAACAAGCCAAGTAAGCATGACCATGCTATTTAGAGACAACATGAAACCAAGCTTCAGGACATATTGACTTGGGATGACACACTAACAAGGCATTTGCATATGCTTTGTTTTTACCTAACCTTTTCACAAGGAATTTCAAGGGTTTCTTCCTATTTGAAAAGATGCAAGGTAATACCTTGATCAGATTAGACGGAGCCAAAACAAACAGCAGCCTTCAAATTGACTTAGTACAGAAGACTGAACATCGAGTCCTACAATCAATAATTTTAACTGCTCACTTTATGACAACTTCCTGGCACAAGCTCACATCCTGATGAAAGGTGAGACTCTTTACCAATCAGCTCAGCTCCCACCACCACACCCTGAACTAGTCCTCTGCCATTGCTACTGAACAGAGCACACAAACAGCTCAGGAGCCTCCCAGCACCGACCGCTCCTCTCAAGTGGAAGAATGCAGTTTTATCTCAATATTGGTTCAAAGTAACATGCACAAAGGGAAAAAAAAAAAAAAAAAAAAATCTCTTTACCAATCAGCTCAGCTCCCACCACCACACCCTGAACTAGTCCTCTGCCATTGCTACTGAACAGAGCACACAAACAGCTCAGGAGCCTCCCAGCACCGACCGCTCCTCTCAAGTGGAAGAATGCAGTTTTATCTCAATATTGGTTCAAAGTAACATGCACAAAGGGAAAAAAAAAAAAAAGAAAAAGTCTCAGAGCTTTTTCCTCCCCCTCCCTGTGACCCAAGGCATGAAACAAATGAAATGACAAGCCCCAGGTGGATCACCTGCCCCAGGCAGCTTTAATGAAAGCAGAGAAGGAAGCATTGCCCTTCACACACTGATTTGCCTGCTGCCCTCAGGATGGCAGGACAGAGATGAGCAGACAGCAGAGGCCAGCTTGCCTGGCAACTGTTGCTGCTCAGCTGTCACTGCAAAGCATTTAATTAGCACTGGAGCCAACATCTCTGTTTAAAGGTCACAGGTTGGTGCTGTTCCACCAACACGAAGAATATGCCTGTCCTCCTCCTCCTCCTAGGTGCACCTATTGCCTCGCGACATGGAGGTATCAGAAAGTGCCATCCCAACACAGCACTTGTCTTGGGGACAGACTGGACTCAAGTTTTACAGCTAACCCAAAATCCTATTCCTAACTCAGCTGCTCAGTGCCGGAACCCTGCACTGCCAGCTTTCCAGCATTACTTCCCCTTATGCTTTTCAGTTCAGTTACAGAATCTTTCCTGGGATGAAGGTGCAGTGCTGGTGGCACAAGTGCAGAATGAACAATTGGGCAGAGGGCTGCTGCTGTTGCCACCCAACAAACTCAGGGAGAACTGGTAATTCAAGTCTGCATAAGATTCCCTATGCTGAAGCAGCTAATGTCAAACAAGTTAATTTATATGGTCTGCTGTGATCCTGCCAGACAATTTGGGTGCAAAAAAGACATTTGTGTATCAGTTTTGTTTGGGGATCCTAAGATATAGCATCAATATGCACAGGTGAAGGATGCAAATGAGTTTAAGTATATTTCTTAGGAACAAGAACTAGTCGAGTTTTCTTTGAAGCTTGTAAAGTTGTTCTGCTGAAGACATCGCTGTATGTTTCTGTATGTCACTTAAGATTAACTTTAGAATGATGTTCCCCTTGGCAATGTTTCAGACTGAAGCCACAGAGAAGCAGCCACATACTCATCTCAGTAAACAGAGACCTCCAAAAGTTTCAGCAGCAAATGTGGTAACATCAGGAATGCAGCAACATTAGTACTTCTCATATGCAGCCAGAACTGTCACTGCTACTTGTTACTAATTGAAACTAAACTTTCTAGGAATGTACTCCCTCATCAGTATCTAATCTACACATCTAATGTCAGGCCAAGCATATCAGACAGGACCCAACTGGCTGTATTGTTAATAATTTACTGAAGCAATATTTTAAGTTTTGCCTGAGCACAAGTTTAATTGCTTTTCATTAAATGCTCCAATGGCAAAGTCACCTTTAACATTGCCTTTGGGAAGTACAGCAGAACACCCCTCTGGGGAGATGGAAAAGGTTGCAAGAAGCAGCTTTTACTGAATAGCCTACCAGGAGATCCAGGATACTCGAGCTTGGAATATCAAAGCATTTTGTGAAGCCAAGTTTTCCAAGCAAACATTAAAAGTCCAAAACCCAGCAACTCTAGAAAAAATAGTTAAGTTTAGGCAGGAAAAAAATAAAAAGAATCAAGATATTACAAAGCAGGTCAGGTCCCAGCTTCTATCCAGACTCTGGCATATTTGAAGCTGAGAGATATCTAGTGGGAAAATTACGTTTGCTGTTGCTTTATCCTCCATCTTCCCTAGTCCAACACTGCAGATTTTATCTCCTTCTGCATAGGGGTGTCTTCCTGGCACTCTGCAAGCACGGTCATGGCAATGCAGATCGGCGAGCTCTATCAGCATCAGGAACTCCTGCTTTTCTCCTGTAAGCTAAGGAAGTTCTTCCCCACCGGTAGCTACTGCCATGAAAACAGTTCTGAATTGTGGGAAGTTGAGCAACTCACCTCCTCCAAAGCCATTAGTTAGGTCATTTCTCAGCTGCAACATCTAATCTTTATGAAATCAATGGAAGTGAAGACTTGAGCTTAAATTAGAAACCAGGCCACAGATAACATCTCTGGCCATTTTGCATTATTAAGAAAGGTTAATTTATTGAGGAACTGAATTTGCCAGTACTTCACTGGCTAGAAAGTTAGCAAGCCACCTACCACACTGCCCTTGTTTTTCTGCCTTCTTGTTCACAGACTTCATGATGCAGTAAAAGATGGCAGAGGTGGGGACTTGAATTTCAAGCCCAGAAGAAAATATGCATTCAGACAGGAACTATCAAGCTATCAAGAAAAAGTGCTTTTACCGGAAGAAGCACGTAGTCATTCAAAGCAGTACAGAAACTGTATTGGCAAATAGTGAAGTTTAAAGGTATTCAACAGCCTGTCTATAGAACAAGAGATTGCTTCAGAAAGCACTGAAGATTTTTCTCAAGCCAAAAGAGAAGGGAAACATATTGCCAATATGTTAATACCTGGAAGCCCTCCAATTCAAGCAGAGGTTTCAACTAGTCCCATACATGAATGAAACACGTATCTAGCCAGGCTCTTTGTTTCAAGAAGCCTTTGCAGGATAGACAAAGGATCTAGAAAATGTTCTCCCCTCTTTCTGTTCTCCCCCTCAGGGACTCACACTTCATTGCCTTTTTCAGTCCAGGGCGAGAACTCTCCTGGGGCTGTAGCTCAGTCCACAGGAAAAAGCCTAATATTCAGGAACTTAAACATAAAAAGAGACAAGCTGCATATAACGTATCACAATTAGCTCATCATAGTACTCAGAGCAGTTCAAAACACATTAGTTTTGGTTCAAGTGGTCAACTTTAAAGGACTCCTGACACCACAGCAATATAATCCCACAGGAAAGGTCAAAAAAGCAGACATACTTTGAAGAGTAGTAACACGGGCTTAAAAGTGATACATTCAGAGCAGCAGTTCACTTCTGAAAGGAAAAGCTTTAATACTTAACTATTACACACTTGACTGTGTCCCAAAGGAACCCTCCAAAAAGAACATATAACCCTTCAACATCTGTGCAATAAAGGAGGCAAAACACACTCCTTTACTCCACCAAATAATAGGCTGAAGTCCCAGCAATCCAAGTTCGCAAAGAGCTGAATGATGACAGGGAAGCTCCCCATCTAGCATGCAAGCTGGTGAGTTGTTTGACTAATATTCAGTATTTCATAGAACCAAAGCAGTCAAACTTATCTCAAACTTTGGATATACACTGAAAATCCAATCAGCTGCCTACCAGGGAACGCTGTAGCATCACCTTTTAGTAGTTCACCTTCACTAACAAGAACTTTCTAGTTATTCTTTGCTTATCTAAGCATTGTGAGGTCAGTTTTTAGATGCCATGGTATAAAAGCAATTGAAAACAATTCTGGATTGTCTCGAGTTTCATTTTTACAAAACAGTACCTTTTTACCCCCTGATAGCAGAGATGCTTTCTTCTATTCTTATACTTTATAAAGCACATTTTAAGGCTCCTTCATTCCAGTTCAGCCGAAATCATGCGGAACTGGCATGTCATTTATCAATGTTATTTTTCAATCCACAGTAAACTCCTTGTGCACACAGAACTCAAGGTAGAAATGGTTTGTCAAGGTGCTAGCCAAGCAGACTGGATTTTCCCAGTACCATCTACCACCGAGGCATTAATAACATTTGTAACTTGTTGAAAACCTGATAGGTCAGAATAGAGCTGGACTTCCAAAACCACTGTTAAATACCTTCAAAGGAGGAAAAGCTTTCATGTGATTTGATAAACAGTGTACTTTGCAGACCATCTTCTAGAGTGCCCAGTTTCTCCTGCCCAGGTTTGTTTAGCATTGAACAGAGTTCTCATACTAGGGTAGATGGCAGGGAATGAAAAAGGGAATTCATCAGCAGAAGACAGTGGACATCTCTGTCCACAGATGTCAGCAAGAAGACACCATCAAGTTACAGCTCCAGGCCATCCCTCATGAAAGGTACTACAGAGACAACTCCTGTTGACACCCAGGACTGGCAATGAGACATCTCACAGGCAGATGGCAACTTCCAATACTGCTCTTTCAGCCATTCTCCTATTGTATCCCCACTTCAGGTGTGGCACAATACCAAAACGTGCACTTAGAGGAGGCCTAGGCCAGAAGATGATGCAGTCCCAGGCACAACAAGGCACAAATACAGTTTCATCTCACTGTCAGATCTCTAGTTTCAGTAAGGATACAGCCATCATCCACAAGATTACACTTAGACAACAGGGTTTCAGAACACAAACTGGACTGAGTCAGTTTCTGTGATTACTTGAGAAAACCCAGCATTCAACTCTGACTAATACTTGAATCCATCATTCAACTCTGGGAATATTCATGCAACTCTGCCATTCATCCCAGCTAGTCTCTCTGCCTGCCAAGAACACCAGTGGTTCTATATGTTAGCATTTTAAAGAAGCCTAAAATGATACAGGAGCCTGAAACTGGCCTGAATTTCAACACCTGTGTCCAGCTTTATCAGCTTATTTCAGAAGGATCTTGCTGAAGAGGCCCAAATTCTCCAGGACAGCAGAGAAGCTCATTAGGGCAGGTCTTCTGCAGTGGCAGAGAAGTCTGTCACTTTAACTATCTAACGACTGATGCAGAAATAATTCACATACCCTGAGCCCAGCTAGAGTGTGATGCTCGTGCTATTGATGTTTGTAGGAAATGACTCTATAACAACTCTCCTTTCAGAGTTCCAGTAGATCCTGCAAGAAGAACTGCAAATATCAATGGTCCCCTTTGCAGCACAGCTGTAAGGGCAAGGCCAGTGCCTCTCACATCCTGTCCCTGCTGCTGCCCATCACCTTCAACAGATGTCATGCCAGTACTTTATTCTCACTTTTAAGTCTTTTGACTTAATACCTGCTACTTCAGGGCTACAGTGGGTCTGATGAGACTGAAGACAAAGCTATAAGCACAGTCCTACCAGCTGATCAGATTATTGCACTGAAGAGAGTGACTTGGAAACTTATTAGCAACTCCCTGCCTGGGGTTTAAGACCACAATTTAACTGTGCTTTTTTTCAACACCTAATTGAGACTGTCATTGCAATTCTCAGAAAGCAGCTCTCAACAAGCAGCAGTTTCCTAACTTGTGGTCTACAGAAAGGCAGCCAAAGTCATGCACCGCTTTGCAGAGGCGTTTGCAGTCGTGTCTCACGTTACAGCTCGCACCAGGCACCGCGGCGTGGGACGTGTGAGGGTCACCTAAAAGCAGTTCAGCGCTCTCACCGCCTCCAGTACATCAGCCTTACAGCTCCACTGCAGTTCAGGGAGTAAGATTTGTAAGAGACAGAGATAGCTAAACCTGATCGGTTGCTTTCTCCAGACAGTTTACTTTTTTTTTTCTTTTTTCCTTTGAGAAGTTAAAGATTAAAGCACTTTAAAGACCACGCTTCTTCCTGGGGAATGAACAAATCCAGTAATTTTGGTGCTTGCCCAGTATTTTGCCCTCAAGATCTACAGCGGGGAGGTTCAGGGGTACGAATAAAGCAACAGCACACACAAACTCACCTGATTCCTGGACTGGGCCCTTGCAATCCTGAGTCGCCGAGCAGAATAAAAAATAAAGTAGCCCATGGTTGCTGCTGTGACAATGAAAAATGACACTGAGATGAAGAAGACGGAGTACTGATTCATCCAAGCACCATGCTTTTTCCCCACTTCAATGACCATAGTCACTTTCATGCCACTCTCAATCCGGTGTAAGATCTCCATGCCTTTCAGGTTGCCAATCATAATTGCAACGATATCTTCAGCACCTGCAAAAGGAGAAGGGAAATCCATGCTCAGTTCCCAGATGTTGTATAAGAGTCATTGTCTTAGATGTTCCAGTTCAAGTGCTACAGAACAGACTAGAAAGTTTCTAACTAGCATTTGCAAATTCAACATGAGCTGATGGAACGAGTGCCACATCCATGTGCTTGATCAGCTGAAAAATATGTCCAATTACCTATGAGCTGCATAAGTGAACGATATTTAGAATTCATTCCTCTCCATAGCACTCCTCACTCCTGTACAGGATGTGCATTGTCATTATTTTAGACTCAACACTTTGGCAATTTACATTTTAACATGCCTTTGAACTACATGAAGTTAAAAATAAAGCCTACACAGAGCGAGGTCACTAGGGATTGTGGTATCTCCAGGAGCTCAGGGATGGCAGGTACCCAGCTGGTGGCTTAAGGATCCTTCCTGTAATGGATCCGACTCCCTCCCTGCTCCACTGCCACTTCTTAACACTTCTTTTCTAAATTTGACACACTGTTGAGTACCTCCCCAGACACTGAGAAATCAAAGCCATAGATCAACTTTTGCTTCTGTATTTTCAGAAGCAATAGAGAAATGTTTGAGTGAAATTTGGTTGTGAGCTATAAATGGTGTTGTGGGTTTCTAATGCAAATTCAGAAGGAAGCAAATATTGAGGTGTGCTTGGCTTTTAAAGGGTTGGCAGCAGATGACAAACTCCATCCAGATTTTAACAACAGATTTCATTTACTCAGTTGGCCATCATGACAAGCCATCAGAGGAACCAAGGGGTTTATGGTAGGAAGAAATTCCAAGGAACTCTGGTCACCAAGCACAGACCAGAACAAAGCTGCTTTCATTTTGGTGACAAGGAAGTGCTTGAGGACACTTGACACTATTCGCAGGAACCTTAGGCAGTCCCAATAAAACAGAAAGCCTTCTAAGATGGGGGGGAACTAAAAGGGAGAAAGTGAGACGAGTAAATTGTTACTGGCCTTGCTCTAAATACAAAAAATGTGGATTCAAAGACTAGCCAGTGAGGACTCTCACTGCCTTAAATCATCAGCTGCACAACATTCATAATAGATATTGCACAGTGAAGGAATAAAGACAGTTACAAAAGTGCTATTTTTAGCTAACCTCCCAGCCAAGGAAGAGACCAAATTTTTTCCCCTCCATTAATAGAAACCTTATCCAACTTTCAGCTATCAAAAAAGCTAGAACTGGTGTTAAACCACAAAGGCCATAATTTAAGAAAACGCTTTCTAGTTTTTCAGCTTGTTCACATAATGCCTTTGATCCAACACAGCTAAGCATGATGTCTAGCAACTCTCCTCAGTGTGACTAAACTCATCTTTTATTCAGAAAGCTCCTTGTAATGAAAGTACATCACAGAGAAAATGAAAAAAAAAAAAGTCAGCCAGACTGCCACTACTGTCCTTTGTGATGAACTAGAGCTTATACAACAGTTATGAAATGAGCTGGAGTCAGGTGTTAGTAGCAAGCAAAAAAATTTAGCAAGGGTCAAGTCAGAAGCTGTGACTTACTTTCATAAGCATGGAAGAAAGTGTGGAAGAACAGGCTGTGACAACAAGAAAATAAAGACTGCCAAAAAAAGCTTGTTCTGCCTTATTCCCCTTTGCTTCTGCACGTCTCACTAGTCAAATATAGCTTGTGGTTATGCGCAATACAAGATGTAGTATAGGAATTCCTGTTAATGAAATGTCACCATCAGCCTGCAAAACCACTGCAAACTGCAAGTTACTAAGCCATCAGCTGTGAACAAATTTCACCCCTACAGAAAAAAATCTTCCATTTAAGTCTCCAGCTAATCAGTTCACCAGGATGTCATTAGATGACAGTATTAAGTCTTTTCCTGACAGTTTTCCCCCCAGAGATTTCAGTTTCAGCTCAGTTTCAGCTCTGCTCTAAATAAACCTGTGAGTGGCCAGCTGGTAGCTTTGACACTGGGCTAACAAGTACAGAAGTGAGAGAGGGACCATTTCCATCAGCACCTGCACTACTTCCCCCCTTGGAGCAAAGCCCCACTGACATACATCAGCATCCACCTTCCACACTTTATAATACTAGCTCTTGGGACCAATTTCTAAAGGCTATTACAGATGAGCTACCCTGACATCACATGAAGTTAACCAAATGGCCTTCTGCCAACAGCAGGGGAAAGGGAGTCCAGAAATTGCATCTTAATATCTGGCCATCAGCAGCACAGCAGTTTGGTCACTTCAGAAACTCCTTTTGGTCAGGGACTAAACAGGGCTCTGGTACCACCACATAGGGCCTACCATGGGGGCGTCACCCCTACCTCTCAGAAAACAAGGCCTCCTTCACCTGCCAAGAAGAGATTCAATGATGCCCTATTAGCCTGAAGCTAAGACAGAAGCCCAGAATCCACATTTAGGACTACTGCTGTGCTTCTAGAATAAAAGCAGCTAGGATCACCCCCACCACCTGCTAGATGGGTCCCATCACAACAGGTGATGTTGTGATGAAACATGTTACTGTGGCCTGGAAACCACCAACCTAGACAGAGGCTCCTGGCAGTGCTTGGGCATCTTAATGGAAACAAGCTATTTGAGGGGACACCTACAGATGTACAAGCTCAGCAGCTGCCCTGAACTGTCAGCTCCCCTCTTCTATCCTGTCTCCAGCAAAGCAAGAGGAAAGTCTTAACAGTTGTGCATGGCCAAAACCTCACAGAAACCCAAGTTCCTTGCCCAGGCATCAGCTTTTGTGATTCAGGAATACTTTCTCTAACAGTTTAAGGGACATTAGAAGGTGAGATTAAGCTGCCGCCTGTTTAGCTAATAATGGGCTCATAGCTAAACAGAAGCAAGACCTGTTTAGTTAAACATTTCCCAGCCTCTCTCCTTTCACCATCTCCTGTGAAATTGGCGAGAGAAAGTTACTCAAGTTTTTCAACAAATACAATCTGCTTCTCAGATGTGGAGTTTTGCAGAAGACACCTCCCAAATCACAAGGCAGGCACGCTGGTCAAAACCTGAAGGTTTCGCAGATATGGGTCGGCACAGACGAGGCACAAGAACTCAAAATGGTTTCTTGGGGCAGGAAAGAGCTGGGACACAAGCACATTTGGCACACAAGGGGAGTGCATGACTGGGATCAAAGTTTTACCTTCCTGTATCAGGTTTACTTAGATGTAGAGTGGACTTGCATCTATTTATACCATGTAAATACCTATATTAAACTCTGCCCTGCAAAGACTTCACTTGTTCTGCCATTGCACTTCTGCTCCCTGTAAACATGACGTTACAGGTTTGGCAACTCAGCAGAGAAATGTAATGTGCAAGAGGTGCACAGAACCAGGAGCATTAACTTTTGCACAGCAAACACCTGCTTTTTCACATTCGTTAAGGAGATTATTGTAATCCAGTGCTACTCTGTGTGCTACAGATAAACCTACTCCGAACCAAGCAAATTGTAGGTCCTGGAGAACAGTCACCCCACAATATTTACAGACTGCAATGTAACTGAATCAATGCCTTAAGAGTAGTCATTTTTAGCAAAAAAAATCAGTCTGTTCATGCATTAAAGCACATCAAGGCAATGATTAGATCAACCAAATCCCCTGCTTTAAAACAAGGTATGGCAAAGCATTGCTTACCTCATTCAGATTAAATATACACAATGCACAGGGTAACCAGAACTTTAGTTCTTTGTGTCATTGCTAAGTCCCAGGAGAAGTAGGCCCCTATATGTCATTGCTCAGTATGGTGGGACTCCATAGCATACCCCCAGGCAACACTTGCATTGCAGATCCATGCTAGAGCATAACACTGATGCCTCCTGGGTCTCCAAATTCTTGCACAGCTAACATCATAAACCTTCTCCCCACAGAAGCAGCTCAGAAGGGCTGTCACAGTGTGTTCAGGGTGAACAAAGCTGCAAACCAATTCTTACAGGAGGGGAGATTTTTCAGACTTGCCAAAGTGGTGAAGGAATGAGAAACCCTAGCAGCTTAGAGAAACTATGTTCTTCCTAGGCATATTACAATTACAACTTCTACAAAAACTACAAGCAGGTTTCTCTGGGTGTTACAGTGAATTTATTTTTTTTTAATGAAAAGGGAACTGGTTTTACATATATATATTGATTATTAATATTCAATAATGAGTATTCCTTTCTTGCTTCTCTGTTGGAACCTGCTGAAGTTAATCACCTTTTCAGGTGATTACAGTACAGCTTCCAGGACTGAAGTTCACAAAGTGTCAAAGAGATTCAGGTTAAGGAATGCACCAGGTTTTGCAGTAATTAGAGGCAACATGACTGAAGGCTTTCTGCCCAGCCCCCAGAACTGTTAAAGCCTTTTACCATACGGAAAGAGAAAATAAAACATTACAAGGCAGCTACACTAGCACTCCAGGTGAAATAAATACAGATTTCCTCACCTGGGATGAAAGCTGAATGCTACCTTAACCATCATTAAGATTTATCCCTCATATCCTGCATCTCCAGCCTCCCTGTCAAGCCACTCACTGCATGAGAAAGAACATCAGAACAAATACGGGGCACTACCTGAGCTTCACCCGTTCACAGCAACCATCCCTTCAGAGACAGCTTTCGTAAGCTAATCCTCCCCCGAGGAGAGCAGGGAGTTACCATAGCAGTGTGTTTTCCAGGGTAAAATCCTGCCTCCTGGACGCTCCTGTGCAGGCTCCTACAAGTTGAAACCACTCCACACACAGCAGAGAGCTGGAGAGGAGGAAAGGAGCCTTTCTGTGGACGCTGCTCCTCCTCAGAGCTCCAACCGGTTTGAAGTCAAACTTTGCTGTCGCAATTTCAGAGCTTTGCCTTTTCTTCCAGATGTTAGGAAAAAGAAAACTTTGCCCCTGTCTTAATCCTAATGTAGCTTTTGCATTGTGCATTTAATAAAACTGAAGCACAGCCTGGAAAAGGGGAAGAAAGAAGCCCCTCCAGAAATTTAAATCTCTGCAGTGTTATCAAAACTCTGTCAAGTTACAAAGGCCATATTTAA